ACAGGAGCAGCATCAGCGGCACCATCAACAACCGCACCGACAGAGCCAGCAGCAGCAGCTTCAGGTGCTGTGTCAGGTTCTGGTTCAGGTGCCGGTTCAGGTGCAGGAGGAGCAGCAGTGCCAGCTCCTGCTGGAAACGAACCTTCAGCTATTCAACCACCTTCTGCTGCTGCTGCTGCGGCTGCTGCTGCTGCAGCCGTGACATCTAGTGCAGCGGCGGCGTCGGCGGCAGCCGCGGCGGGAGGAGTAGGGGCAAGAGGGAGAGAAGCGCAGTCAAATGGAGGTACTGGGTTGCCATCGCCACTGGTTCAGCCGGCTCCTCCCCCTGCCAACGCTCCCCTGCAGGAGGTTTCTCTGCCTGGTGTGGGCCGGCCCGAGCACTCCCACTCGCACCAGCACGAGCAGAAGAAGCAGAATCACCGGTTGCAGCAGCAGCATGAGCAGCAGCTGGTGGTGGGAGGGGCACTGCCGGAGAGGAGTGGTGGTGGGGGCAAGGTCAGGAAGACGTCAGGGCCCAAGGGAGTGAAGGCCGTGCACATTGTATGTATGGCATAGACCACTCCTCCCGCGTTTTGCTCTTCTCTCTCTCTCACGTCGTCACTTGCATTGACTTGTCGTTGGGCTCAGCTAGTAGCTGCACTGCACTGATGGGCACTCACCAGGGCCCAAGGGAGTGAAGGCCGTGCACATTGTATGTATGGCTGGCAGGCATAGGCCCCTCCCGCATTTACCCTTCTCTCTCTCTCTCGCGTCGTCACTTGCATTCACTTGTCGTTGAGCTCACATAGTTGCTGCACTGTCTTACTGGGCACTCACCAGGGCCTGAGGGAGTGAAGGCTGTGCGCATCGTATGTATTCCCCCCAGCTTTTGCACGATGTAGCTCGCTTGCTTGCGCATTGCGTGTGCATTCGCTCGTTGTTGAGCTCGCCTGTTTGTTTCCCTCGCGCTTTGTCACTCATGATATTGCATGCCAAAGGATTGGGGACTGTGCATGCAGTGTGTGTCTTTGGCTTGCTTTTGCCCTGCCTCCTTCTTTCACCTTTCCGCTTTGCTGCCTTGGCTTTCCTCCTTTTTGGGCCCAGTCTAGTGTCAACTTGAACGGCTGCACAGTTGCTTACCTCTCACCTGCCCTTCACACAGATCAAATCTGATGTTTTCCTGCATGCGCACTGCCATGCCAATCCACCTGCCCTCCCACCAGTCCACGCGAATGATGGACGAGTTCATGCGTGTGGTCATAGACAACACCTCCCGCAACCTAGAGACTTGTGCTGTGCTCGCTGGCTCTCTGGTGAGTTCCCAATGTGGACGACTTTTGAGACGTCTCAAAAGTTGCTCGCTGGCTCTCTGGTGAGTTCCCAATGTGGACGACTTTTGAGACGTCTCAAAAGTTGCTCGCTGGCTCTCTGGTGAGTTCCCAATGTGGTAACACTCAGAACATCGCACGGTCCGACATTCCTATTCTGCATGTCTATCATCCCTTGTTTTCCCGGTGGTGTTGGGCAACACCTCTTGCAACCCAGAGACATGTGGCGTGCTCTTTGGCTCTCTGCCCTGCTACGCTGCTACTTCCCATGTCCCTGCTTCTTTGTTTTCTCTCTCTTCCCCGTGGATATCCTTTCCCAAGGATATCATCAGCTGCTTTTCGTTTGTTTTCTTTCGTCTGCCCCTGCTTCTTCTGGTTTGACTTCCTGCGTCCTCTGTTGTTGCAATGCGCAGAAGAAGGGGATGTTCTTTGTCACAGCGCTTATCCTGCCTAAACAGCACTCTACTTCTGATTCGGTATGTCCCTCCCTTCCTCTTCCCTCTCCACTTCCCTACCCTCGCCGTCTTCTTGGCTGCTTCTTGTAGCCCTTGGTGTCGCATCTTTGCCGTCTATCAGTCATGCGACCTGCTGTTTGTCTTCATCTAAGCTCACCTCACCTTCACATTCCTGCCCCGCGTTCGCTCCTGCCTGTCTTTTTGCCTCTACGATCCCACCCATCCCATGCCATCTCATCATTCCATCCCATCCCATGCCACGCCACGCCACGCCACGACGCTATGCCATGCCATGCCATGGCACACACAGTGTTCCACGACCAACGAGGAGGAGATCTTTGAGGCACAGGACAAGCTGGGCCTCTTCCAACTCGGCTGGATACATGTACTACCACCTCCTCCTCCTCCTCCTCCTCCTCCTCCTCCTCCTCCTCCTCCTCCTCCTCCTCCTCCTCCTCCATTTCTTTGGTTGGCTCGCACCTTTTTCTCTGGTGTATCCACTCTATGGCCGTTTCATTGGTTGCTTGTTTAGGAGGTTTCGTCTACTCGATCAGTTCCCCGCGTTTAGCGTATCTGCTGTTCCTTCTGCCCTCTGCCCTCTTCCCTCTGCCCTCTGCCCTTGCGTTTCCTGTGGACTTGGTTTGCCCATCAGACCCACCCGACTCAATCGTGCTTTATGTCGTCCATAGACGTGCACACACACTACTCCTATCAGGTCTGTTCTTTCTTCATTGGAATAAACTCGACGACGTTGTAACAAGATAAACGTAGACACGTTCATCTCGCTCGCCCTCCCCAATTTCTCTTCTGTGCTTCTCATTCTCGCTCTCTGTTCAAGATATTTCCCCACTCATCCTCCACCGTTCCCCTTCCCATCAACTGCAACCAAGCTTCTTATCCTCAGCTTTCTGCAACCAAGCTTCTGTCCCCATCTCTGCTCTGTTCCTAGATCCAGTCTTGGTTTCAGTCATCTCAAAACTTGATTACTGTCTATGCGCCAACCGTGTCTCTGTCTCTCTGTGTGTGAATCGTTGTGCTGCATTATGGTCCCTTTGCCCCAGGTGATGCTGCCAGAGGCCATTGCTATTGTCATAGTCATGGCCCCCATGGATGGATCCTAGACGGTACATACTCCCTTCCTTGTGCTGCATGTGTTCGTCCCTTTGCCCCAGGTGATGCTCCCAGAGGCCATTGCCATTGTCATGGCTCCCATGGACCCTAGACGGTACGCCTTTCCTAACTTGTGCCTGCTGCCTATTCTCATTGCCTTGTTCCACCATTCTCGTCTGCCAGACTTCTGTTCCTCTTTCGACCCTCTTCCCCACCTTCCCTTTGCCCTTTAACTTGGATCCTTGACCCGACACCACTTCGGTGAGGTACGAGTCAATCTTTGCTCTTCTTCCATTACTGTTGCCATTTATTTGTCTTCTGTCAAGATTGACTCATACCCCAAACTGATCTTGGTTGTCCCTAACCATAAGATACGAAGCCGATGTTGTTTTCTTTCTTTAGCTAACTCGACTTCCCTGATGCCCCTTTCTCCCTTTGCTCCCCACTCCACCTTTCAATGTTCCTCGGTGCAGCAAGTTTGGCATATTCCGTCTGACAGACCCGGGGGGAATGAAGGTGATTCAGAAGTGCCCTCTGCGCGGTTTCCACTCCCACGAGCCTACTAAGGATGGAAGCCCCATTTACACGCACAGCTCGCATGTGTTTTTCAACCCCAAGATCAAGTTTGACGTGGTGGACCTTCGCTGATATGATAAACCTGTGCTATCCATCCATGCAGCTTGTACTGTATTGTTGAGTTCGTTCGTTGACTACAACTTAGCACATCTTTAGCGAGATACTAAACAATCAGCCTAGCTGTATACATTTATTATATTCAGCAAAGTTACCGAACAGCCAGCCTACCTGAACACACCATCACGCCCCGAGCCACCCGCTTGGCTGGTAGCCTGCTGCCTGGCCTACGCCTAGGCCAGTCCCTAAACCTTGGTGCAAACCCGTGTGGAATCCCGCTGAATGTACCATATCCCGCTATTCAATGGTCAATCATCCATTCACTCAAATTCTTACGGTATCTGGCATCGCTTGTGCAATTCTTGCTAGTCACCTTTTGCTGAGCGACATACATTTTGCTCCAATTGCGATTCATGTTTGTACTGAATGATGTTCTTGTTTGAACAGAGCACGCAAATTTCACTTCTCTCGATTGACCTGATATCTTTCACACAATTCAAAGCAACAGAGAAACCACATCGGGGATAACAAGCACTTGCAACAAGAGCTTGTCAAGGTCATGCGATGCAGTAGACAGGGGACAAAATAATCAAATAGGCGTCAAGGCAATGGAGTGGGGCAGCAGCACACATGTGATGGGGTGGTTGACTATTGAAGAGCACATCCAGACGAGGACTCCCCCCCATGTCTCACGACCTGGCCATATGCACCTATTTCCACTGCATCAAAATCACGCTCTGAAATTAAGAGTTGAGTGGGGAAGTGGGTTTGATGAGACGAAGGGAGGGAAGGAGGAACAAAGGCTGGCATGAGAGATTCCGAGGTGGTAATAATATAGAAGATTCATGGAGCCTGCAAGTGGGTGCATCGTTGGAACAGGCACAAATGTTTCAAACGCACTTTGCATGCAACAAGAAAAAGAATGGGAATATCTGGAGAAAGGTGCTGCGAGAAATAAACCCCACGATTGGAGTATCTGCGCCTATTACGTACTGGAGAGGCTGCAGTAGGTGCTGCGCTGCATGAGCTCCGTGCGTGTCATGTCCGTGCGCGCCCCCTTGGCTCGGTTCACTGCCGTCTGTTGGTGTGCGGTGCATATGGGTGGGGAGGAGTGAGTCGGTACGCGCTGGCATAAATATAATCAGCACTCTGAACTTGTTCTGCTGTACGGCTTGCATAGCTTGCCATTTGGTGACTACTAAGCACAGAATATGAGTAGAAAGATGGAACAGGCTTGCAAACAGGTTTAGTTGAGAACAGCGGGGCGCGGGTTTCGGTGGGCATGCGTATCTGCTGATTTGATCAACATTGTGCAGTGCATGCCACCAAAATCTGATTGCATGTCATCTCACGGCATAGTATTCGCACACTCCTGAAAGCACAAAGGCAGTCACTTGCCTGCAGTGCAGCACCTCACAATCTTTAAGGCGCCTAGAAAACGGAAGACAGGAGGGGGCATTCACTTGCCTGCAGCACCTCACAATCTTTAAGGCGCCTAGAAAACGGAAGACAGGAGGGGCCATTCACTTGCCTGCAGCACCTGACAGTTGTCCAACGTGCTCTTGCCTCCCTGCGACAGGAAAGGAGGTGTGGGGTGGGAAGAAGGGGATTCAGGAAGAAGCGGATTTAGGGTACAAGGGTTTTCGGGGATAGCCAGGGATATGAAAGGGAAGGGAAAGAGAATAAAGGGCCAAGAGAGAGAAGTGGGAAATGTAGCAAGAACCAACGTAGGGGGCAGATGGGAGAGTGGAAGGCTCTGCCCCTCCGCCTTTCCCCATCTCCGTCCTCTCCGCCCACCTGCGCCTCCACCCCCACACACTTTCTAGTACCGGACCACATAACGGGGCCCGTAGCACAGACACCCTTTACACGCCAGCAAGTGCCCAATCTGACTGAAAAAACTGCCCCAACCCACCCACCTTGGAATAAACGCCTCCACTGCACACACCTTAGAGTACGGAACGACGTGATCGTAGTCGTAGCAGAGACACCCCTTACACGCCACCAGCTGCCGAAACACCACGTTTCCCGCCGCGTCTCTGCGCCACCTGTCCGGATCGCGCCCGGGAACCGTCTCCGCCTTGTTCCAGCACGCCACCTTCACCGCGTGCGGAAACGCGCGAGGGTTCCCCCCTCCCGCGCCCGAGTACGCGCCGTTCCGCCCACCCCGCTGTTGTTGCTGCTGCTGCGCGGGAGGGCGGGTGGACACCCCGGGAGCGGCGACTCCGCCCGTCCCCGCCGGCCCCGCCACCTCATCGTCCTCCCATTCGTCGTCGTACTCAGGCGGCTCGGCGCGCCGCCGCGCGGGGCTGCGATTGGGCGAGCGCAGGTCCTTCATGACCTGGCGAAGCGCGCGACCTGCGCCGGGCGGCATGAGGACGGACTAGCTGGGGTTATGGCGGACTAGCGGGGGGAGATCGCAGACTAGCAGGGGGAAATGGCGGACTAGCGGACTTGGGGGGGGGGGGAGGGGGAATGGCGGACTAGCGGTGGAAAATGGCGGCGTGCGAGTGGAATGTCGCAAGATATGGCGTCGAAATGCGGTCGTGACAGGGCAGGTCAACAGAACACAGGGAGGCGTGAAGGTCAGAACGCTGGTGTCGAACAATTTTAACGCGTCCGACAATGGCGCGTACACATTACACGGCTTCGGTATTGAGGTGTGGAGCATTACGTTATCCTACTAGATGACGTGGCAGACGGGGAGTCAGCTAAAAATAGGATGATTACCCTCGTTATGAACATTTTCGGTATTCGAGGAACATCACAAAAACTCGCTCGAAATCTTATCAGAAATTGTGCAATTACTAAAAATGACGTTTCCACTCCGCCATAATCATTCTTGTGCAAAAGCACATTCGTTTTACTTTTTTCAGGGCAGGACGTATGGTTGTCCAAATTGCATTATAACCGTATATGCAGTTAAAAACCACAAATGCAGCTACAGCTGCTGATGTTGCTGGTACAGCTGGGTCAGTCACAGAGCCTTAGCAAGAGCAGCCTGGCGCGCACTCTCAATGGCATCTTTGGTGGAGAGCGGCTGTGTGTCGTTCAATCGGCTGGTGCCGTCAAAGCGGCGGTACAGCGACCGGAACGCCTCGTCGTTGCCAATGGACCTTAGCTTGGCAAAGTCGATCTGTAGGAAAGAGATGGAGAGGCCAGATGCATGCGGCACGTGTGGGGGGGGGGGGCGGGGAGAAAGGAGAGTTGACTGCGATTGGAATGCCTCGTCATTGCCAATGGACCTCAGCTTGGCAAAGTCGATCTGTAGGAAAGAGATGGAGAGGCCAGACGCATGCGGGAGGGGGTGGGGGGGGGCGGGGAGAAGGACTTTTGATTTGACAGCGATTGGCACGCCTCGTCATTGCCGATGGGCCTCAGCTTGGCATAGTCAATCTGTGAGGATGGAAGCAGCATGGGAGTGAGTGGTATGGGAGTGAGTTGTATGGGAGTGAGTGGTATGGGAGTGAGTGGTATGGGAGTGAGCGATATGGGAGTGAGTGGTATGGGGGTGAGTGGTATGGGGGTGAGTGGTATGGGAGTGAGTGGTATGGGAGTGAGTGGTATGGGGGTGAGTGGTATGGGAGTGAGTGGTATGGGAGTGAGTGGTATGGGGGTGAGTGGTATGGGAGTGAGTGGTATGGGAGTGTCAGGCATGGGAGTGTCAGGCATGGGAGTGTCAGGCATGGGAGTGTGAGGCATGGAAATGGATGCCACTCACCTGCGGCGTGCGGTTTAAAACATTCTGAAAGAAAAAAGGCCCTCACTTTGGGGGGCTGAAAGGGTGAGGGTGAATGATGAAGCATTTTGAAAGGGCTTAAAAAGGAAAACACTCACCTTTGGCTGAGAGGGCGGTGACAGGTGGAGCTTGGCCCTGTGCGCGTGTACGAGATGGATAGTACGACCCGACAACTGTGGGGCACGCACATGCACGCACATGCACGCACATGCACGCACAGGCGGACAAGCAGAGGCATATCGACACACAAGCACGGGCACATGTGTGTATGGGGGCATCGAGGAATTTCAAGTATGAACAGACAAATGCACACAAAAATGATACTTACAGAAGCCACCAGGCACGGAGGCAGACAATAGACGGAGGCAAGTCGAGAAAGAGCAGGAGCAGAAGAAGAAGAGGAATACCACGAACGGCATTGTGCATCCTTGGATAAGTCGGTTTTTTTTCAGCACACGGATGGGGAGGGGACAGGAGATGAGCGTGGGAGAGGTAGGTAGGGCAACTACCTCCGAGAGCATGGTGAGGACTCCCTCTGGCCTCAAAGTGCCGCCGTCTGTGGTGTGCTGGCCCACATACGACACCACCACACTGCTGCTGCTGCTGCTGCTGCCAGCAGCGAAGGCAGCCGCGTCGTTGCAGCTGAGGCGCATGGCGGATGGCAGAGCGCTGCCTTGGGGGAGAGCCCGCAGCTCATGAAGCCGCGCACGTAGATCCGTCTCCTGAGGTAGGGAGGGAGACAAAGGAGTGATTTTGAGAAAATTCGGAATTTAGCAGAGCCTGCAGAAGGGCGGTGCCTTGGGGGAGAGCACAGCACGCAGCTCGTGAAGCCGCGCACGTAGATCCGTCTCCTGAGGTAAGGAGTCAAATGAGGGATCGAGGAATTTTCAAGAATTTTCACAAATCAGAAGTGCTCGCAGCTCATGCAGCCGCGCACGTAGATCCGTCTCCTGAGGTAGGGAGACTAGTCGAAGGGTGGGGGGGAGAGAGGATGGAGGTTGACAGGAAGAAGGGGGAGATGTAAAGATGAGAAAGAGTGGAGGGGAGGCTCATGTGCTATTACTCAATTTTCGAGTCGACTCGAAAAATGTGCTAGTAGACTGTAGTCCATGTGATCAGACAGAGCAGCATATCGCTGGAGCCTGGAGATATGATAGGCAGCGAGCGGCCAACCGAAGAGCCTGGACGACAGGAAACGGGTGTGCAAGGGAAGGTGTTGCCCATTTCTCCAAGAAGCACCAGCAACAACGAGCAACAACTGCTCAACTGGAACATGCACAGAGCATGCACACAGCTCAAGCGAGAGGTGATGTCAGTAATGGACAGGTGGGCTGCGGAGGCCTTACTTCCATCAACTCATGTTGTTTTAGGACAATGAAGCGCACACAGCATGCACACAGCTCGAGCGAGAAGTAACTTGCCTTGGGCTTTGCGCCTTGCTTCTTCTGCAGAGTGACAGTGAAGGATGGCAGGGCGAGCACTCCCTGTACCCACTCCTCCACTTGCTCCTGTAGGCTCCTGTCTGTTACCTCTGCTCCCTCTGCTCCCTGTGCATCACCCTCCACTCGGAGCAACAGCAAGTACTCGATTGCATAGAGTTGCTGGAGATGGGGAAGAGATGGAGATGTGGGAGGAGAGGAGAGAGAGTAAGACTTTTGAGACGTCTCAAAAGTCGCATGAGCTTTGTTGCTCGTCTGTGCATCACACTCCACTCGGAGCAGCAGCAAGTACTCGATTGCATAAAGTTGCTGGGGACAGGGAGAGAGATGGAGATGTGGGAGGAGCGGAGAAAGAGGGAGAATGGGAGTGCCGGAGAGAGGTCATTTGGTGCCAATTAATGCTTCACCAGTTCGGAGATTCTCAACATCCACTTGATTCAGTATAGCTCACTCACAGCAGCTGAGCCGCAAAAGATCTGATGGTTCCTGCCGCTCACCTTTGTGAGAGTGTCTGTGTTCTTCTTGTCTGCCCGGAAAATCGGTTCCTCCCATGCGTCCAGCACGGGCACCTCGTCGGGCAGCTGGAAGATTTGATAAGGACCAAGCAGAGCGCAGGAGAGGCAAACAAGACGTAAAATTGGGAGGATATTTTGAGTCGTCTCAAATCTGGAATGGGAGCAGAAGTAGTTGAAGGGTGAGCGCTGAGGAGTGGCAACCGAATACAAGTACCAAAATGAAGACAAGGAATGTTAAGATGAGTCAACAGCCAACCGTGAGGGGTGAAACGAGTTTGAGAGAGGCAAGATGGACAAGGAGAGTGCAGGTTGAGATGGGTTTAACAAAGGCAAGGGGAGGAGAGTGAAGGAGAGGAGGCAATCCTCAAGTGTGAGGTTACTGGTTTTTGAAAGAGAATGCAAGGGAAAAGAATGGATGGAAGGAGAATAACTGGCATGGCATGGCATGGCACGGCATGACATGGCATGGCATGGCATGGTAGGTGACACACCTGTTCCTGCAGCTTCTTCTTGACATCAGCCACCGAGAGCTTCTGCGTGAACTCCAAGTCCACCAGCTGATGGGGTGGGGATGACGCCATGGCAGGGGCGCATGGCAGGGGCGCATGGGAGGGGCGCATGGGAGGGGCGCATGGGAGGGGCGCATGGGAGGGGCGCGTGGGAGGGGCTCGTGGGAGGGGCGCGTGGGAGGGGCTCGTGGGAGGGGCTCGTGGGAGGGGTAAATGATAGAGGAACGTATGATGCGAAAGACGCGTCCTGCGTCCTGGACGAATGCGTCCAGACGCAGCGTCCAGACGCAGGACGCAGAACCTGGACCTAAAAGACGCACCAAAAGACGCAAGCCCGGGCAGGGCAAAAAAACCCCTGGGCAGGCAAAAAAAAAGTATAGGGCTTGGGAGAGGGGGGGGGGTGGACCTACCACACTTTCAATGCAAATTTCCACCCAACCACAATTTTGTCCCCCAAAATTTAAGATTAAGGTGAGTCCAACATCACACATTTGAGAGGTTTGAGTGAATTTCCATTTTGCATGAGTTGTTATGAAATGCTAGCGGGGCTGGTTCACAATGGCGAAATGGGCTTGGGGGGTCGAAAATTCGCGATTTCGACATTCGCGTCGAAATTGCGAATGTCAAAATCGCGATCGGATTTTTTTTTTCGGGCTGCCCGAAAAACATTTCGCCGTGCGTCCTGCGTCTGGACGCGCGTCCTGCGTCCTAGCGTCCGGACGCTGCGTCCAGACGCAGGACGCAGCGTCCTGGTTGCGTCTTTCTCATCATAGCGTGGCAGGGGCGTATGGAAGGGGAGGCGCACGCACAGTACGAGGAGCGAGGAGATAGATGCTTGTTAACTTAAAAAGAAGTTGAACGGAGGAGAAATTGACAACGAAATAGAGCACAGACGAGGGAATTGAAGGATTCTACTTCAGAACAAGCTCGACTGTTTTGGACTGGCTGGTTAAGTCAGAGTTTTGAAGAGAGTGGGAAGAGTTTTGAACAGAGGAGAGGCAATAAGATAAAGAACATGGACATCAGCGCGTGCTTCTGGACATGGAGGCAAGTGCGTGCGTCCATGCAACCAAGTCAATGGCTAAAGGTGGGGAGGAAGAGCGCACCTCACAGGAGCTGCTGTAGCCCAGAGGCAGAGGCGCAGCACAGGGAATGCGGGGGAGGGAGTGGAATCTGGAAAGGTGACCTTAAAGTCGACTCAAAATTTACCAAGTTAGTGGCTAAAAAGGGGGAGGAAGAGCGTACCTCACAGGAGCTGCTGTGGCCCAGAGGCAGAGGCGCAGCACAGGAGATGCGTGGGAGGGAGTGGAAGCTGGGCAGGGAGAGGGAGGAGCAGACAGGTTCAGGGAAAGAAAGGAAAAGAAGAGTGGAAATGGAGTGGATGTGGCAGTGCTGGTTGAGGTGGGTGTGGCGAGGTTGTATGATAGGAACAACTTGAAACTTCAGCACCACAATATTGGAAATAGAAGTGGGAATAGTTGGAGTGGGATTGGCAGTACAAGAAACAAAAAAAAACAAAAAAAAAAAACAAAACAAAACAAAAAGGAGATTTTGTCATGAATCGACAATTGAAACATAGTTGGCAGCACAATGCTGTGATGTGGGTTGGGATGACATGCACGGCGATCTGACTTGGCATGAACACACAATCAAGCAGCAGCAGCAGCAACTGCAGCAGAGAGAAGCTACATCATATTCCACAATGAAAGGCAGCAGCAGCAGCAACAGTAAAGCACGCACCCATTGTCATAGCAGACAGGGAGGTCGGCGCGTCGAAGAGCCCTATCGAGGAGTGAGACGGTGTCCAAGTGACCCAGCAGCGTCATGGCGCCCATCTTGGCAAAGCGCACCCGGAGACGCTGCAATGGAGGGAGGTGAGGGGAGCGAGCAGAAGGAGAGGGGGGCGGGTGAGTCTGCTTTTGAGGCACCTAAAAAAAAAAAAAAAAAGTATCCAGGTGCCCCAGCAGCGTCATGGCACCCATCTTGTCAAAGCGCACCCACAGACGCTGCAATGGAGGGAGGTGAGGGGAGCGAGCAGAAGGAGAAGGGGGCGGGTGAGTCTGCCTTTGAGGCGCCTAAAAAAAAAAAGAGAGTATCCAGGTGGCCCAGCAGCGTCATGGCGCCCATCTTGGCAAAGCGCACCTGCAGATGCTGCAATGGAAGGGGAGGGCGAGCAAGGGGGGAGAGAGGCGGGCGGGTGAGCTTGTGAGCTTGTGAGACGCCCCAACAATGTATCGAGGTGGCCTAGCAGCGTCATGGCATGGCAACCAGCTTCGCATGGTGCACCCTCAGACGCTGCTAGCTAGACGGACAAACAAGGGATTTGCCGAGTCAACTCAAAGGCGGTGACTTCTTAGTCGAATCAAACATCACTGAAAGGCATTGAGTGGAATGCGTGAAGATGTACCTGCACTCTCTTGCGGTTGGGCTTGAAGTCTCCATCGTACTCTGGCACGGGGGGTATGGCCGCCACCACTGGTGGTTGGGGGAGAGGCGCAGATGGGGAGAGGGGCAGATGGGGAAAGGGGCAGATGGGTAAAGGGGCAGATGGGGAGAGTGGCAGATGGGGAGAGGGGCAGATGGGGAGAGGGGCAGATGGGGAGAGGGGCAGATGGGGAAAGCGGCAGATGGGGAAAGGGGCAGATGGGAGAGGGCAGATGGCGAGAGGGCAGATAGCGAAAGGGGCAGATGGGGAGAGGGGCAGATGGGGAGAAAGGGCTGCAGACAGTGAGAGAGAGGTGGGTTATGGGGTGAAAGGCCGATGCGACTGATAGGGAGAGTGGAAGATGAGGGGAAGGGAAGGAGGGGATGAAGGGAGGAGAGAGGAAAGGGGGAGGAGAAGAACAAGGAGCAACAAAAAACAGGGAAAGAGAGACGGAAGAGCAGATGAAGAGAAAGCAGATACGCTTTGCAAGTGAAGGAGAAGGGCATATCAAGCAGAAGCCCTCAGGTTTGCAGTGGAATAGAAAACAGCTGAGACAGGAGGAAAGCGAGCAAGCTTCTTACAGCTGACTACTAAGCGAGGAGGAGGAAACCAGCCCAGGACACCCCTCCCCTTTCCCCCCACCCTTTCCTTCCCCGACCGACTCACCATTCTCTCCAAAGTCTTCCTCGCACACACCACACTTGGAACACACGCCACTGCTCGGGGTAATGGTACAGGCATGGGAGGCAAAGGGAGCAGAAGAAAATGGAGGCGAGGAGGGGGGCGGGGGGTGAGAGGAAAGGGGGAGTATTAAGCAATTGAGGTTTGAACAGTAGGGGATTTAGAAGGTCGGAGTGGAAAGTAGGCGGAGCGGAAGCAGTAAAGGAGTGGAAGCAGAAAAGGAGTGCTGCTGCACTGCACCCACCCACAACCCCACACCCCCACAACCCCACACCCCCACAACCCACAACCCCACACCCCCACAACCCCACAACCCCACACCCCCACAACCCCACAACCCCACAACCCCACACCCCCACAACCCCACACCCCCACAACCCCACAACCCCACACCCCCACAACCCCACAACCCCACACCCCCACAACCCCACAACCCCACACCCCCACAACCCCACACCCCCACAACCCCACAACCCCACACCCCCACACCCCCACACCCCCACAACACACAGTGGTGGCCTCCAACGCCCTGTGCAGGTCCGCCTTGCCTCGAATCAATGCACTGTGAACCCCATTCCCCCCCACCCCCTTCTTTGCACACCCACCGAGCCACCCCTGCGGCCACGCGCACTTGCACGCGCGCACCTGTGCGAGCAGTCGGGAACAGTGGTGGCCTCCAACGCCCTCTGCAGATCCGCCTTGCCGCAACACACTGCAAACGCCCTTCTCCCCAGTCAAAGCACACACTCCCGCACACACAAGCTCTCCCACCACACCACGCCACGCCACTCCCCTCTGGCAAACACGCACCTGTGCGAGCAGTCGGGGACAGTGGTGGCCTCCGACACCCTCTGCAGATCCGCCTTGAGCCACTGCACTGAGAACCCCATTCCCCCCTCTACACATACACACACACACGCACTCTCTCCTTTCCCCCCACGTGCGCACCTGTGCGAGCAGTCGGGAACAGTGGTGGCCTCCAGCGCCCTCTGCAGATCCGCCTTGAGCCACCAGCGCTCTATGCCCGTCTGTGACACGCATGGCCCGCCGGTGGTGGACATGGGGGGTGGGGGGGGGTGGGGAGGACGCAGAGGGGAGACAGGGGGGGGAAGGCAGGGGGGAAAGGCAGGGGGCACACGGGGAAACAGGGGGAGGGGGAGAAAAAGGGAGGTATTAAGGGAGGGACATGGAGGGATGAAGAGGGATGTTTGCGAGGAAGTAGAGTAGATGCGCATTGGGAGCATCATCACGACAGCAGCTCACAGATGCAACATGCCACACTGCAAACAAGCAACCCACATCAGTAAGCTAATGGCATGGCATGGCATGGCATGGCATGGCATGGCATGGCAAGCAACGAGTGACCCTGGCGCACTCGCATTGATGATGTCCCATGACGGGAGGGCGTCCAGCCTTCGCCTCAAAACTTGAGGCACCTAATAAAATGAGGTGATTTTTAGGCGCCTAAAAAATGACAGCACATGAACCCCCCCCCCAAGCCACTCACATTGATGATGTCCCAGGGCAAGGGGGCGTCCAGCCTGGCATCGGCAAGAGGCCCCACATCCAGACGAGACTTGCCGCCCTGGCCTCGGAAGCGGTCGTCGCCGATTTTCTCCATGACGTCCCACTCGCCGTCCACCACCTGTCATGTGGGATGGGAGATTGCACACACATGCGGCAGGGAGGGAGGGAGAGCATATGGGTATGTGGGTATGAGGGCATGTGCGCAAGATTGTGCAACAGGAATGACGTTACAGGCATATAAGTACACACAAGTTTCTTAAGCGGTCGTCTGTATTGATTCAGGGAAGGGTACAAACACGCAAGGAGCAGTGCAATTGTTGTGGTGATGACAAGTTTCTGATATCTTGTACCCCTTTTGCTCCTCACTTCTCTCGCTCCTCCAGCACATCTCAAACCTTGCAAATTGAACCGATCTCACAATCATTTTTTCTGAATCAACCCAGCAGCTCTTTCCCTGTCTTTCCTTCCCCAACCCAGCTCCTTTTCTCAAACCTCCCACACACCCACTCCGAATCTCTGTTCCCCTCCTCTCCAACTCTCCCCCTCTCGCCCGCTCTTCCCCTCAGGCTCACCCGTCGATACTTCCACTCCAGCCCGCACTCATCTATGGCCTGTGACCAGCAGCCGTAGCAGCGATCCAGGTTCACCCACCTGTAGAGGGCGGAAAGAGGGGAAAGGGGGAAGGTGAATGGAAAGGGGGACGAGTACCGAACGGAAGAAGAGGAGGGGAAAAGCGGGAGCACAGGAGGTGAGGTGACTGGGGAAGTTGGAGACGATGGGGTAAATGAGTTGTGCCTGTGGTCCCTCACTCCTGCCCAAACTCGTCTGTGGCGAGCAGCTCGATCAGCAGGAGCAAGCTGTAGCAGCTGTAGCAGCTGTAGCAGTCACCAGTCCACCAGTCAGCATGCACCACCAGCAACCAATCACCTTGTGCGCTGCCCACGCACCAGCACACGCTGGTTGCACCCTCCTGGCCCCGCTGCCCCGCCCCGCCTCGCTCCGCCCCGTCCCACCCCACCGTGCCCTACCCTGCCCTGCCCCACCCTGATATGCACCCCCCTGCGCCCCGCCTTACCAAGCATCGTTGCTGGCCCCCAGCTCCCACGCACGCCGGATCACCCGGCCTATGCTGCGGTCGCCCCGCCCTATGAAATCCTCCATGGCCGATAGCTGTTAGGCACCAGGAAGAGGGGAGGTGAGGGGAAGAGGGACGTTGATGGGTAAAGGTTGGGATGGGGTATGGCATGGTTCCTTACCCACCCTATGAAACCCTTCATGACCGACAGCTGCCAGGGTCCAGGAGGAGGGGAGGGGAGGGGAGGGGAACGGACGGGAGAGGGGAGGGGAGGAGAAGGGAGGGGAAGGTGGGTAGGGGGGAAGAGTGACGAAGATGGTTAAAAGAAAGGGGTATGGCATGGTTCCAGCCTCGTCCGCCTATGCATGCTGCAGCCATGCATGCAATGTTGCAGGTACTTTCCCAGAAATCCCAAAATCTGACTGATGTGTGCATGGCGGTGAGGAGCGGGCCATGCATTCAAGTCGTGCAGGTGTGATGCGATGTGATGTCATGTCATGTCACCAAGTCATTCAAGTCATGTCATACATCACCCAGTACACCAACACGTCCCCCAAGTTCCACTTTACCTCTCACATGCACACAGTACACAGCACAGCACCACACAGAGCCGCACAGCACCACAAAGAACAGCACAGCACACTCGAAACGGCTAAAGAAGTACACGTGGCAGGGAACGGCTCAGCTCTTGCTCACTCACCCGCACGTCCCCAAAGTTCCATTTGACTCCCGGCATGCGCACAAACGCGTCTCTGAGCAAGCGCTGCTTGCGCGTGAACTCTGCTGTTGACACCGTGTGCCTGCAGGCAGGGGAAAGGGGGGGGTGGGGGGAGAGGAGGGGGAGGGGGGAAGGAGGGGGGGTTTCTGAGTCGACTCAAAACATGTCTCTGAGCAAGCGCTGCTTGCACGTGAACTCTGCTGTTGACACTGTGTGCCTGTCGGAAGGGGAAAGAGATGGAGGAGTGGGAGGGAGGAAGGGGGGGGAGAAGGGGTTCAGGGGCATTTGGAGATGGTTAAAAAGGAGGTGAGTATGTGGTGGGAAATGGTGTGTGGGGAGTATGTTCTGGGTGAGGAGGAGAAGCAGGGTGTGGTGGCGAGGGGAGTGGATGGACGGAGGCAGACTGGGAGAAGGGAAGATGGAGGTGCGGGTGGCAGACAGAAGTAACACGCGGCTTCCCAGCTGTGCTTGCTAGAGTGCCATGTCCTTTGTTAAGATTCTACTCGGTGATGTATGCTGTTTGAACACGAATGTCTGGATGCATGCATGCATGCACGGTGCAACGCTGCAGCTCGTGTGCCATGTGCAACGCTGCAGCTCGTGTGCCATGTGCAACGCAGTCACGCTGGAAGGGAGTGGAGCTACCTCTTGAAACGTCTCAAGAAGCAGCTCGTGTGGCAAGGCATGTGGCATGTGGCAAGGCATGTGGCAAGGCATGTGGCAAGGCATGTGGTAAGGCATGTGGTAAGGCATGTGGTAAGGCATGTGGTAAGGCATGTGGTAAGGCATGTGGTAAGGCATGTGGTAAGGCATGTGGTAAGGCATGTGGTAAGGCATGTGGTAAGGCATGTGGTAAGGCATGTGGGACGGCATGTGGCATATGGCATGTGGCATATGGCATACCACTGGAAGGGCGTGTGTGGCTTGGGAGTGAAGTTGGAGATGGTCAGACGCACGCCCAGGAAGTTGCGGCCGCGCCGACAGTTCTGCTGCAGCCACTGCAAGAGGGGTGAAGAGCGAGAGGCGAGAGGTGAGAGGTGAGATGGGAAAATCGAGAGAGAAAAAAGGGTGCGCAAGAGGAACAAGAACCAGGAAGGGGCAACAGGAAATGAAACAAGATAACGGGCAAACAGGAACAGGACGATGGAAGGAGATGGGGGAAAAATGCGTTACTCCCAGTCAGCAGCACCGGTGCTTTCTATTCCCGCTGCACCAACCATGTTGCAATCATGCTCTCTTACACATGCTCGTTTCGGCACCGCTGCTACTATTCTTTTGAAGTTCCTCGTGCTGAATATGTTTTTGACACCGCTACTGGTGTTGGTGCTGGTACCAATGCTCATCTTTGTGTGGCTGTTAAAGCTGTCACTTGTGCTGCTGCTTCTACCGCTGCTGACGCGAAGGTACGATATGCATTTGTTGTGTGTATGTTTGTTCGCTTTTTTTTTTTTCAGCCATGCTTCTAACAATGCTTCTAATATTTCACAGAAACCGATTTCACAGCGGTGACTTTCTTAAAATCAGGGTGCGAACCCCAGAATCCAGGACAACCTCAGGTATGTATTTCAATTCCGCATAATGCTTCATTTTCATTCCATTGAGTAATGTCTTTGCCCTGTCAGGCTTTACTTTCAGGAAACGACACTGATCTTACGACTAGAACGGCTAGTATTTCTCCAATCTTCCGTTCTAGCCATAAGACCAGTGTCGTTTCTTGAAAGTGAATCCTGAAAGGGCAAAGATATTACTCAATGGAATGAGAATGAAAAATTATACGGTTTTGAAATACATACCTGAGGATCTCCAGGATCCTAAAGTTCGCACCCTGGTTTTAAAAAAGCCAGCGCTGTGAAACCGGTTGCTGTGAAATATTAGAAGCATTGTTCGAAGCATGCCTGAAAAAAAAAAAAAAAAAAAAAAAAAAAAACGAACAAACATACACACATCAAATGCATATCGTACCTTCGCGTCAGCAACGTTAGAAGCAGCAGCACACGTGACAGCTTTAACTGCCACATGAGGATGAGCATTGGTACCAGCTAACTAGTAGCAGTGTCAAAAACAGATTCAGCAAGAGGAACTTTAGAAATAAAAGCATCAGCAGCAGCGGTGCAGGAGCGACAACCATCAGCCCTATGCAATTCGGGTGTTTTTTTTTTGTTTGTTGCTCAAAGCGTCCGCGTGAGACTGATGGTGAGGACGTTTTTTTAAACATGAATCAGGACTTGGAAAAGTCGCCGCATTAGGTGATTCGCCTGTTTATCGTAAGTATTAGTTATTAACGAATCGCAAAAAAAAAAAAAAAAAAAGATTATGTAAAGAACAATGCCATCTGTATCTTCCAACATACTTTCTATCCATATGAATGTTGTCCATTCTCGTTGGCCTCATAAACAAGTTGAAGTTCCTCTAGTGCAATAGCATAGCCATTGTTCTCGAAAGTTGCCATGACTGAAGAAGAAATATAAGAGGGACGGTTTTTTTGTCAGGCTTGGCGTACATTGGTGTTGGTAACGGCCAACACTCGCTCAGTCACGCAGTCGTGCTTCAAAGACCTATAGCCACATCCACGCGAACGAGGAAAGTGCAAGTATGATCCCTCATGCATGACGGAGCATGTGTAAGAGAGCATTATTGCAATAGACATGAGCAACGGGCGAGCACCAAACATGCTCGCCCGAACCTCCACGAACATGTCTTGTGGACGAACCGAACATGTTCGGTTCGCCCTAACATTTTTTGCGATTTTAGGTGTTCGGTGTCCGTAATAGGCGGGCGAACACTACATGTTCGGGGCGGAATCGAACATGTTCGAGGTACGAGAGTGTGTTTTCAGTGGGCCAGCTCCTCCCCCGTCGCCTCCCCCCTTTTCAGAACATCAAACATGTTCGGTTCGGTTCGGTCACGAACATGTTCGGACGAACCAAACAGGTGTTTGGAAATTTGCTCATGTCTGGATTGCAACATGGTTGGTGCAGAAGAAATAAAAAGACGTTCATTCATTCATTCATTCCCCCCTCAGGATTTTTTTTATTACGAAGAAGCAGCACAAGCATTCCTTCACCTATGGGCGCAACAAGCCCATTGTTGGAGTGCTTGAAGTTCTTTTAGGCAAGCGCCTTGACAAGCAAGACGACCTTGTCTTTTGAGGAGCCTCAGTAGTCCTTTAGAGTCACCTTGATGGTTTTGGGGATGCCCATGACGTCCTCGTCCGTCTCCCCCTGCAAGCCGATCATGAAGTAGAGCTGCACTTCACCTGCCACCACCCCTTGATTTTGAGGCGCCTCAAAAGCAAACCAATCGTTCACCTTGATGTGCAAAACCACACCTTGATGGTTTTGGCGATGCCCAGGACGTCCTCGTCCGTCTCCCCCGGCAGGCCAATCATGAAGTAGAGCTTCACCTGCCGCCACCCCTTGTCCCACGCCGCCTTCACTCCCCGCAGCAGCTCCTCGTCCGTCAAGCCCTGGGGTGAGCCAGGGGAGGGGAGGTGACGCGTTGGAAAGGCAAGAGCGAGAGTGAGGTGGGTTGGGGTGGGATGGGGCTGTCTTGTGTGAGTTAGTTGACTCGTGAGGTCCCACGCCGCCTTGTGGGCGTTGGGGGAGGTGACGGGCTGAACAACGCAAGAGGAAGAGTGACGTGAGGTTGTGGTGAGGATGTGAGGTTGTTGTGAAGGCAGTCCAGTCGAGAGGCAATTCAGAAGTCAGACCAGACCTTCCGGTGCAGCATCTCAAGCCACGGTGTGATTTGAAGCAGCAGGGGTTGCAGAAAGTGGCGAATCAGTTGACTGTACAGAGAAACACAAGGGCGCGATGGCACGGCATGGCACGGCACGGCACGGCATGGCATGGCATGGCACGGCATGGCATGGTACGGCATGGCATAGCATGACAAGGCCCGGATGGTGAACTAGTGAGTCGCACCTTATTGATGACATCCCTCATCCTCTGTGTGCCTGCTTCAGGTGCAAACGTGATCGAACCCTGCAAACACACACACAGACAAGGAAGAAGGAAGGCAGGCAGAGAGCAGGCCAGAAGATCAAGGGACGGACAGACAGGTAGCGAGGCAGGGAGGAAGGGAGCCAGGCAGAGAGGCAGGTCGGTCGGAAGACCTCCATTCGCATGGAGATCACAGGCAAAGGAACCACAAAATGCTCTCCATGCTCTATCAGCAACACAGGCCTGCTACCTTCTCCATCCATCTCCATCCATCTCCGTCCCACCTTCTCAACAAGCTTCCTCCACCTCCGCGTGGAGTCCTGCTGAGTTGCTTGCAGGCAGCTGTTGCGTTGCATCTCCTGGGATGGCTCTCTCTTGCAGCTAGCTTTATCAACAGCATGACTTCACCTCACATCGTTCACATCACATCACTTATTCCTACAACGGGATTCTTCCCTGCAACAATCTATCCGAACCAATCTCTTTTGAGTCGACTCAAAAGTCACCTCACATCGTTCACATGACATCACTTATTCCTACAGCGAGATTCTTTCCTGCAACAATCTATCCGAACCAATCTCTTGCAATGCAATCAACCCTCTACATGCGCAAGAGAGCGAGCGGGGGAGTGGGTGCGAGAGTGGTAAGCGGGCATGTGAGCGCATGAGTGAGCGAGCAGGCGATGGAGCGAGTGTGGCACCTTGCGTGTGCCGCCAATGATGTTGGCAATGTCCTCGTTGAATCGATCCACGCGTTGGCTGGGCAGCGGTTTTTGAGTGAGTGCATGTTTGAGCGAGCGAGTGAGTGAGCAAGCAAGGGAGTGAGTGAGCAAGCAAGGGAGTGAGTGAGCAAGCAAGGGGGTGAGTGTGGCACCTTGCGTGTGCCGCCAATGATGTTGGCAATGTCATCGTTGAATCGGTCCACTCGCTGGCTGGGCAGCGACAGCGAGATGGGCTGCTCCTTGAGCCGGTTCTTGATCTGAGGGCAGGGCGACGGACAGAAGGACAGAGACAGACAGGCAAATAGGCAAAGAGACAGACAGGTGCACAAAAGGGTGAAAAGGAGGACGGGGATGCATTCGATTAGAACAAGGCAGGAGGGTAAGTGGCCAAGTGGTGGAATGGAAGAGAAGAGTGGGATGGGCTGTTGCTTGATCTGAGAGCATTTAAGGCCACAGCTGGGGAGGAGGTGTGTGCACGCCCATGTTGAGATGAGAGTGAGTGAGTGAGGCATGCCATATAAAGTCTGACCAGACCACACCACCAGATCAGACCAAGTCGATTTATATATATCAGATCAAAAATGCACCTGAGGTCACTTGGTTTCATTGGCTGATCTCCCACAAACCTGGATGCCCACGGATGGGAGCGCTAGGTAGTCAGAGCAGCTGAGGGAGAGGAGGGAGAACTCTGTATAGCCCGTCTTCCTGGATACGAGGAAGGGAGAGGAGACGCGCGGGAGACGTGGTATTGAAGCATGGCAAAGTGCTGTATGGCACTGTCACGAGGTAGCATTAAGGAATTACGTAGAAACTGAACTGGGAAAGGGTAGAGCTGATTTTAGGGTGCAGGGTGGGAGAGGAAAGATGAGCATTTTAGGCATAGAGTAAGAGTAAGAGGCCCAGGTCACTTGATTTCTGTTCTCCGAATCTCCTTGCACATTTTACATCGCCCCTGGCCTTCTTTCGCTCCTAAAAAACTCACCCCTATACTCCGTTCCCTTCCCTTTCCCACTCTCCCTTCACCCCCCTCCGCATCCATCTCCACATCACCCATCTGTACCCACCACTAGCCCGCCCCTCACCTCATCCTGCCCCTCATCTCAACCCGCCCTCGCCTCATCCCCCCTTCTCCCTCCCCTCCGCTCCCTTCCCCCCACCTCACCCCTCCTCTCACCTCATGCCTGCTTCCACCGCCTCCACCACTTTGTCTGGATCCACGTCACGAGCTGGCCTCGTCAGCATGCCAGCTGGACACCAGCACACACATGGGTGTGTAACATGTGTATTCCATGTATGCACACATGCACGCACATACACTTGCACGCACCCATGCACGAACATGAAAGCATGCACACACACGCACACACACACATGCGGCAGATAGATGAATGCAGGGGCATGATTGGGTGGCAGGATGTGGAAATTGAATATCCACGCGCACATGCAAGCACGCAAGCATGCACACACAAAAGAAGCAGGATCTGCAAGAAGTGAGACAAAATTTTTGATGCCTCAAAAAGCAGCAGAGGACCCACTGGCTCAAGCGTGCACACGAGATGGATGCATGGGCATGTGATACACAAAAAACAGTCTCCGCAATAGGCATACGGGTGTGAGGTTCGGTTCCGAGGAATGAGCAAGGAAATGGTAGTGGTATTCCTTGCCTGCTGCCACACTTACGCTGGCAGAATCGACACCCTCGGGTGCAGCCTCGACGAATCTCCACCGTCAGACGATCGTGCACTGGTGGTTGGTGGAAAGGAGAGCAGAGACGGGCGAGAGGGGGATAAACGGGGGAAGAGGAAGGAGGGAGAGGGGGGTTTAGTCTGTGAGGGGTTTGGAAGCGAGGAGTCGAAAAAGGGTGCATGGATTGTGAAAAAGGCAGCAAATGGTACTTTAGGGGGAATGGTTGGTAAGAGCGTAGGAGAGGGAAAGGAAGAAGAAGGCTGAGAGGGCAGATGGGAGGGTGTGGCTGAGTAAGTGGAGCAGAAAGCCATGGGCGCTTGCTTGCAAAATGTTTGCATGGAATGATCATGATGCCGGATTATGCTGGCAAGAGCAGCGCGAATGAGAGTGGGGATTGAAGAAAGAGAGGACGAGGAGAGTGAGAGGAAGAGGTGTCATGATTCATACCTGTGGAGGTGAGCGGCACAAGGCCAATGTGGTCCAATGGATTGGGCTGGTAATAGAAACATTGTGACATGCACATACACACATGCACATGCATATGCATATGCAGAAGCACACACCGCACACGTGCACCGCACCACATGCACACACCGCACCACATGCACACACCGCACCACATGCACACACCGCACCACATGCACACACCGCACCACATGCACACACCGCACACATGCACACAGACAAGCATATGTGGAAGGGAGCACGAGCGCACACACATCCACACATGCGTGCAAGAAAGAATTACAAGATGAGAAGCAAAGAATTGCAAGAGCTTTGTGACAAGACATTTAAGGTTTCAGAATTGACACGGCTCATGCACACATGGACCTCTGGACACATACACACATGCACACACACACCCACACATGCACACATGCGCACACACACCCACACATGCACACATGCGCACACACACCCACACATGCACACATGCACACACACATGCACACATGCGCACACACACCCACACATGCACACATGCGCACACACACCCACACATGCACACATGCACACACACATGCACACATGCACACACACACCCACACATGCACACACACACCCACACATGCACACATGCACAAATGCACACATGCACAAATGCACGTATGCACACGTGCACACATGCACTCATGCACTCATCACACATGCACACATAACATGCACATGCACACAAGCACCCATCAACGCATGGTGCAAGCCTCACAGTGGCCACTCGTCGAAGAACTTTAGACGGCACTCCTTCCACCTTCGGCAGCACCGCAGCGCCCCACCTGACTCCACACAAGGAACGGTGACAGGGGTAAAAGGTCAGAGAAGAAGAAATGGGGGCGAAGCAAAGGGATGGGGGCGAAGGGGTGGAGGCGAAGAGGTGGGGACGACGGGATGGAGGAGAAAGACTAAGGAAAGAAAGACGCATCATCACAGGATGTAGACTTCTTTAACAAAGCACACTTCAAAAACCAGCAGAACAGACACTATTTCCTTCTCCAGTCCCTTCCCCCCCTTGAAATCTCCCCCTTTCCCAACTCTCTCCCCTCTCTTACCCCGGCACGGGCACATACACGCCCTTCACCGCGCCAGCTCCAGAAGCACAACAAAGCAACAGCTATCCCTTCCCCAGGCCCCTTTCCCCTTCCCCAGCCTCTTTTCCCCCTTCCACTTCTCCCCATCTACTCTCCCCTTGCCCATCCTTACCCCGGCACAGTCTCGTAGAGCTGGGGCACATACACGCCCTTCACAGAGCGTGCCAGCTCCAGCAGCGTGTCGTATCGGGACAGACGGCGCTGCTTGCATGTGTCTAGGCACTGCGCGATCTCCACCAGACACTCCTGGGGAGGTGGTGGGAAAGGGGGGAGTGGAGAAACGGGGGGGTGAGAAGAGAAGGGGCATCGTAAGGGGAAATGGAGGAGCAACGAAAGTGGGTGCCGTGCTGCTTGCACGCATCCAAGCACTTGGCGATCTCAACGAGACACTCCTCCTGGGAACAGTGGTGATGGGGGAGGCGGGGGGGGGTCAAGTGTGGGGAAAGAGAAACCGGCACGAGACGACACGGTAACACAATGGCATACTGTCTGGCTCAATGAGTGCAACACGTTGCATGTGGTAGCGAGACAGAGGGAGAACAGTGTGCATGTGTGCATGGATGCCTCACTAACGCCCCAATCCCACTCGCGCACTCAAACACCCACCCTTTTTCCCAACGAGACAGGCAGGCAGGCAGGCAGGCAGGCAGGCAGGCAGACAGCCTGTGAACGAATGCCTGTCTGTCTCGCACTGCAGTCCCACTCACACACACCCCGGCCCGTCTTCCCACCCGCTCCCTTCTCGCGTCCCTTTTCTCACCTCGCCATCGCCAATAGCGAAGAAGTCAAAGAAGTCTGAAAAGGGCTCGGGGTTAGATGTGGCCGTGGGGCCGCCTGGGGAGGGGAGGGAAGGCGACATGGTAGGGGGGGGAGGGGGGGGAAGGGAGGCGAGGGAGGGGAGGGGAGGGAGGGGAGGGAGGGGAGGGAGGGGAGGGAGGGGAGGGAGGGGATGGAGGCGAGGGAGGGGAGGGAGGGGAGGGAGGGGAGGGAGGGGATGGAGGCGAGGGAGGGGAGGGAGGGGAGGGTGAGAGCGGGGACAGGGAAGGTTGGGCTCCTTATCCATCTCCTCGCCACCCCCAACAGCAGAACAAACATAAGAGTCTGCGAAGCCCTCGGAATTGGACGTGGTTGTGGGGCCGCCTGGGGAATGGTGAGAGGACAGGGGAGGGAGGAGAGGGAGTGGAGGGAGAGGAGCAAGGCAGGGAAGAGAGCGGAGGTAGGGGAGGGAGAGGAGTAAGGCAGCGGAGAGAGGGGAGTGAGGGGGGGCATCGGGGGGAGGGGAGGAAGACTCGGCAGCCACGAGAATGGAAAGCAAGGAAGGGAAAGGCAAGAAGTGAGGGATGCAACGGGCATGCAGGGGTGAGTGGTGAACAGAGAGACTGGAAAGATATGGAAATGGAGGGAAAGAGGATTCACTTCGGAGCCATGGCCTATCTATATTAGAGTGTTTGAGTTTCAGTTTCAGTTTGACCATACATGCAAACGCCAAGGGGGGCATTTGGAGTCCTCCGCTGGGTGGGATGATGAGTTTCAAAAACTCCACTGGGAATCGAGGCCACCAAACTGCATGCGATGCTGATCAAACTGAGGGTAACTGAAGCACGGGGCATGCTGTCACAGCAGAAATCCCAGGGCACGGCTGCGCCGCATCTTCCCCCCCCCCCATTTCCCCCTTTCTCAATGCATGGAATGAGACGAGTTTTGAGCACCCCGAAACTGGCCTTTTTTGAAGCGCCTCGCCCTCACCTGCGAACACAAGTGGCACCTTGTCTCATTCCATAGCATTGAGAGAGGGTGAAAGGGGGGGAGAAATATCCACTTGTGCCCACTGGAAATATCCCAGGGCGGTGCCGCATCTCCACTATATGCAGCCAGCCCCATTGACTTGACTGTGCATGAGTTAGACACCTCAGAATCAAGGCTCGTCTCGTGAGGTCCGATTCCCATGCATGGTCACAAATGCATGGACGCCTCATAACTCACCTGCGACTGCAAGCGGCATGCTGCCACTGGAGACATCATCGCTAGCAGGGTGCAGCCGCATCCCCTCCATGTGCAACCAAGGGGACGACGGGTTCTGATACACCCTTGTGAGGCGCCTCAGGGCTCACCTGCAAACGCAAGGGGCATGCTCCCAGTGGAGACATCCCAGGGCGCTAAGGCATCTCCTCCATGTGCAGCTGTGTCTGCATCCATGCGCTCCTGCCACGAGATGGGGATGCCCGACTCGTGCAGCATTTGCAGAATGTTGGTCGCGCCTAGCTCGTAACTGCAGCAGGAGCAGAGGACAGGACAGGGGGGTGGGAAAGCCAAGACACACACACACACACACACACACACACACACACACACACACACACACACACACACACACACAAATAGGGGGTTCCCGGTTTCAGGCTTGGGGGTTAAGTGGGAATGATCGGTATTGTGGAACAGCAAGAGGGAGTGGGTAAGAAGTTTAGAAACAGGACGTATGGGAGGGAGGCACAAGCGGGAGGAGAAGAAAGGACGGCCAGAGGAAGGGTAAATGGACGGGAGCGGGGAGAAAAAACAATCACTTGAGGTTCAAAAACATTTTCGTGAGCAGAGGTGAAAGACAAATCACTGGTTACATTACATTATACTTAATTAGATTAGTCGTTCACCCAAAAGCACAAGCAAGTGTGAGTCACCTGAGGCTGAATCCGAGGGTGTCGAATTGGGCGAGCGGGCGTTGAGACTCCACAGCGAAAAGGGACTGCAAGGCAAAGGCACATGCAGATGTGCATGCAATAGCAATATGGAGGCATAGGCAAGGCACAGGCAAGGCACAGGCAAGGCACAGGCAAGGCACAGGCAAGGCACGGGCACACGCACAAGGAGGGGGGTAAATAGTAGAGGGGAAAAGAGGTGGGGCAAACGATTATGCTCAATGCATCAAGATATAAACAAAGGACGAATGCTGCGTTAAGTTGTGATGTGAGAGAAAGGAAGTGGAGGGTGGGGAAGGGTGAGGAAGGAAGGGAGGGCATGAAAAAGGAGGGGAGTGGAAGGGAGGCGAGGCGAGAAGAGGTCAGGGCGGACGATAAAAAGGGGAAGGGAGTTTATCCAAAAGAACAGGAGAGGCGACAGAGGGTGCAAATCCAACCCAGCTCTATATTTAACGCTTTAAGGCTACTCCCTATTGTGTGTGTGCATGCACCTTGTTGTACTTCTTGAGGCACTGGCTCATGTCCTCGTCCACAAAGCAGAGTTTTGAGTCGACTCAATACTCGGGTTACAATGCAATCCCCCTTCCCCCCCCCCTATTGTGTGCACCTTGTTATACTTCTTGAGGCACTGGCTCATGTCCTCGTCCACAAAGTAAGCTCGATCGCACATCACGCCCTCCGCTTGGTTCAGCACCTGGGATGGGAGGGGGGAAGAGAGAGTGAGTGAGTCACTTTGAGTTGTCGAAAAGGTAGGCTCGGTCGCACGCCGCTAGGGATTTGTTTGTCGAAATTCTTCCCCTTTGTGCTTGATTCCACAGCTAGGAGGGGGGGAGTGAGAATGGGTCACGTTTGGTGTGAGGTGGGACCATAAGAAGAAAAGACAGCACTGAGAGATGAGATAGACAGAGTGAAGGAAGGGACTCCCCCTCTGCAAGTACACGAAGTAGGCTTGCTCTTATGAGTCTCTTACATGATCCCCATTGTCGCGTTTCCCTCCCCCCACACTCTCAACTGCCCATCCCACCCTTCTCCCTCACCACAAGCACATCTCGTCCCTTTGCACCCAACCAGTGCCTTACCGTATACAGAATGATGTGACCGAGATTGCTCGCCCCCACCTGTAGTGAAGGGAAGGGAGCACAGACAGTCACATATGCGAGCAGGGAAGGGAGGAAGGCAAGGATGGGATGGATGGAAAGAGGTGAGAGTTGACAGACAGGACAAGGACAAGCCAACACGTATCTTCATGTAACATGGCACGTTTAGTTTGCAGAGAGTTGTATGGCGTGGATATGGATGGATACGAGAAGGCATGGCATCGCACGGCACAGCACGGCCTGGCACGGCACGGCACGGCACGGCACGGCACGGCACGGCACGGCACGGCACGGCATGGCACGGCACGGCATGGCACGGCACGGCACGGCACGGCATGGCACGGCACGGCACGGCTCGGTATGGCTCAGAAGGATTGCATTAAGAGAGGCGCTGAGAGAAAAATGGACACTCAAACACTCAAAGTGCCCAGGCAGTGGGGGGGACCGAGTGACCCAGGCACTTGCGCTTTGTCTGTTACTCTGTGTGTGTGCGTGGCCGTCTCAAAGACAATAAACCGTCTGCACAACCTTCAAACATGCCGTCTCGCCTCTCTATCTCGCGGCTTCGCCTCACCTCGTAGACCTCGGGGTACGTGAGACAGAAGCGTACGCGCGCGCTGTCCCAGTCCTTGCGGATCGCGCCGTGCTCCTTGCCCAGGTACCGCGCAGGCTTCTTCAAGCTGCGCATCGGGGGACGGCGGAAGGGGAACGCGGAACGGGAAAACCGCGCAAGGGAAGCGGGAACATGGGAGACGGTGCAAGGGAAACGGGGCATGGAAGGCGGGGGAACGGAGACGCGGTGAACACATGGAACAGCAACCGATTCGACATCCGCATTCAGGAAACCAAGGGCTGTCGAACGCTAAAGGTAGCCGCTGCTGCAACGGCATTTCTGCAACGGACATGAAGGTCATGGAAGGGAGTGGGAACATGGGGGGTTGACTAACCTGAGCCACTCGAAGAACGGAATTCCTGCAATGGCGTCCCCGCTACCGTCAATCAGCGCCGCAGCTGCGGCCGCCGCGAGCGCTTCCTCGTCCCCCACCGCTCCCCACTGCGCCAAGACCTCCGCTTCCCCCTCCCCCTCCACCTCCCCCTCCAGCGCTTCATCTTGCTCCACCGCTCCGCCTTCCGCTAGTCCGCTCTCCGCTCCCGCGACCGCGGCGATCCGAGCGGATCCATGGCGCGCAGCGGAGGGGATCCGCGCGGAAGAATTGCGCGGAAAAGAGGAGATCCGCGGAAGGGAGAGGCGGAGACTAGAGGGTGAGGGGGACGAATCCGCGGAGTAAGCGTCACGCGGAATTAGAGCAGGACAACGCGAAGTCTGGACGGCCTTGGTTAGTATAGACGTTGTGTTGACTAAGAGAGTCGAAGATGCGGATGTGACACTAGCGGGGTAACCCGGGTTTCGCGGAAGGGAAGCGGGAAGAAATGGGGACCGCAGGGAAAGCGCTGGGCGAACAGAGCCGGAATGCATGGCGAATGGGGACATTGTTCTGGCGAAAAAACAGGCCGGCTACCGAATCGACACCGATCAGCCTGCAATGCTTCGCAGACGCGGTATCCACATAAATCGGAGAGGTTGATCTGAGGTTAGGAGCGGCTCCTCTGGAGACTGGAGGTACTTGCTCCACCAATCTCGAGACTGAGGAATTCTGGAGTTCAAATAAAAAGAGCCGGCTGGTGGTTTACTTCACTGCTACTTTACTTACTGTATCTCGGTGACAAGGACCCAGAAAATCAAAATCCTCAAGCGAGGAGCCTTGCTGGAAGATGAAATGAAACGTCAGGCAAGCCCACAAAACTGGAGGAGATATTTCAGTGGCCACGTCAGCACGCCCTCTCAGAAGACTGACGATTTGGCGAAATGATGGCTCGTCGTGTTACCGTAGAAGCCATACAATACATACTTGTTTCTACCCACTACACTTGTAGTTACAAAGTGACTTTTGTTACATAGAAGAGAGGTCCCATACAGCTCCGTTTTGATACGTTCTGATACATTCCTACTTCAACTGCAATATATTTCATACGTCTCAATTCTCTACAACGATTCTATGGCTTCATTCAACCCAGGACATTCAACGGTTCATATTTAGTAACATCTTGATATTTTGATTGGATTATATGTTTAGACTGCATTCTAAGGGTTAGTGGATCTAAGGTGAAGCTGGAACACGAGAGGTAAGCCTATGGCCAACAACAAAAGAAGTGGGATGTGTGGAAGTGAAACCGCTGAAGGGTCGCCTGTTCCCGACGAGTGGGCTGATCTACATGTCATTTTAAGGGTTAGTGCTCCGTATGCAGAGCTTGTGGGGTGCCTCATGTACCTGATGACTTGCAATTAGCCCGACCTCGCCTCTCAGCATTCTTGAAGACATCGTTTCGTTCCCTAAATGGCTGCTAATAGGGTAGTGAAGTACCTGGCGGACACATTGACGACGTGGGCGGACGAGGACGAGACTCGAGGCTTTCTCATGGCTACTGCTATTACCTGAGCTCTGGAGCTGCCTCGTGGAGGTCTACTCGTTTGTCGCCTGTGGTTTCGTCCAGTGCTGATGTCGAGATCTGCGCCAGTGCCATTGTTGTTTAGGAGCTCCGCTTAATGACTTTCTCATTCGCTGGCATAGGTGAGCAACCTAATTTTGTCCCGACCTTGTTCGCTAACAACAAGGCAATGATGTGAGGATCGAGGATTACGTTCACTAATTGAATCATGATTCCTGGGTACAAGTACGGGGCTTTATATAAGCACGAAACAAGTCTACTAGCCAGGATGTTACTAGGAAAACAAGCACAAGAAGAAGAAGGAAAAAAAACATAATAAGCAAGTTTATGCTAGGAAAATAAACATGGGTAAGTGTAGCCGCTATACTCTTACACGCCCCCCCTTCAAAACTGGGTGGCATGAGAAACATCCTGCTTGACAAGATAATCCTTAAAAGCACGACGTGCGTTGCTCATATAAGCTTGTGCAACCCAACTATCTTTCGAGGGTCATATCCCCGCCACCGTATTTGGAACTTGGACGTGTTGTCGCGTCTGCGTCGATGAGCGATGACACCTTTCGCCTCGTACTGTGGTTCATCATGTACGGGATTTGGTGGTAGTGGCGGTAGATGTCGTCCCTGTAACTGATGGTTGGGGTGCTTGTAAAGCTTCAGTGCTGAACATGGAAGACATTGTGAAGCTTCCACGTAGTTGATAAGCACAAGGGGAATGTAAATAGCATCACCATGGCCTCAACGCAAAAAGGACCACTGAAGCGAGGACGGAGCTTGGACGGAAGTTGGGGTAAGTCCAAGTTGCGTGTGTCAAGAAGCACCTGATATCTTACTGCTACTTAGTGATCTCGTCGTTGTCGATCTGCATACTGTTTATGGGAGTTCTGTATTGTGGTGGGATGTCGCTAAATCGTCTTCCACAACTTTTGCATGGTGGTGACAAAGTCATGTGCTGCTTGGACGTCTGCCTGTGTGGTTGGCTGCTGCGGTATGATTGGTTCACGCCCGTACCACATGAGAATAAGGAGATTTTCCTGTGGCCGCATGAAATGCGTTGTTGCAAGCGAACTCAAGCGTCGGTAAGTGTAGATCCAAGTGGCTGATGTCGTCTTTGCAAGCTGTGCGCAGTAACTTCAACCATCTCATTGAGTCGCTCTGCTTATTCTTCTGTCCTGGGGTGGTATGTTGAAGACGTTGCAAGCTTTGTCCCGAACAAACCTATGAGTTCCCTCCAGAACTTGTGAATTTTGGGTCCCTCTCTGAGATGAGTGTAGCGGACATGCCGTGGATGTAGACGATGCTGTCGAAAAATAGTCGAGCTGTTGCTTCAGCTATAGCCGTGGCGTTGGTCGGGATAAATGTCCCATTTCAGAGAGCTTGTCGATCACCACAAGTATAGTATCATGCACTCGTGAGGTTGAAGGTAGTCCAGTAATAAAGTCCAGCCTAACGACTTGCCATGGTTGCTCCGGTAGGGTAGAGGCTGAAGCAGCCCTACTTTTTTATTTTCTTGCTCTCTGCAAGTGCTGGCACGTGCCGCATGAGGTGACAAACTGCTCCAGGTTGAAATGTCGGTGTCGAGGCGCATGCTGCTGCCGTCGTTGCTGCAGTGGCGACTGCCGACTGGTGGATAAACGCATCGATTCGTTGAAGCGTCGCGCGAGTCTGCTCCTGTTCGGCGCGGATTGCGGCGATTTCTTGTACAAAACTGTTGCCTTGCCCCTCCATGCCTGACATGTGCGTTCAAAATCTGGATTGAGAGGGACTGACAAATTACACGGAACTGATTTTACGTACCCGAATCGACGCTTTTCGTCGTAGCCCTTCGCGATTTTCTTTAATGCAGGGTTTTAGCAGTTGAATACATTCGCGTGTAAACTCGCTCTCATTACCAAGTGTTAGGGTTGAGGATTGAGTTCATTAATTGATTAATGAATGTTGGGTACAACTCCAAGGCTATACATAGGCACGAAGCTAGGCCAATGTGTAGGATGTTACGAGAAGGTTCCGAGGGTCGCGAAGCGTTCTGCGGGCCCTTCCGGAATTTGGTAGAGGCATCTCCGTGGTGAAACAAAAAGCACAGAATTCGATGTATGTAACCGATTCGGTGCCTATAAGTAATATTAATATAGAATAGCAACAAACTAGGAAAGCAAGCACAAACAAATACAAATAAGAAAGATGATGCAAGGAAAATAAATATGGGTAAGTATAGCTACTGGATATTCATTTCTCGTATATAAGGAGCCTCGACTGGAGGGCAGAGTACAGAAATTGAGCTGTGCCACTTCCTGCTGCGGTGACGCAGCCAAACACGCTCGGTCATTGTGGTCTCAAAGGCTAACACAGCGAACATATGCACGAAGGCTCTCCAGCCTTGTGACCATCACAGTTTCTGTCCACAGCATGGCCTTGTTCAAACAGGTCCTCGTTCGGTGGAGCATTGGCTCCAGTATCTTGAACTGCTTATGTTGTTGCTTTTTTCCATAAACCCTTGAACTGGCCTTGTGTTCGTTTCTCACAGACGCTGGCTAGTTGTGCCACCTTGATTCGCGTCTCTTCCATTATTCTCTTTGTTGACTGGTATTGCTACCATTTGTATAGGAAGTTGGACTAGTAGTGCCACCCTTATTTGCGTCTTGCCTGCGAAACACAGCTCTCCTTACCTAGGCTATAGGGGTGTGTCAACTTCGCAAATATTACATTGCCGGTGTTACTTTGGTTAGCCTATCTTAGGGATAGCGACTTGTACCACATTCTTATTGAGTTTAATCATTCCGCTGTTTCTACGTATGAGAGAATAAGCAAAACAAAAAGCAAACGAACAAACAAGAAAGCACAAAATGCACTCACACGCGCACACACATTCACATGCACGCACACGCACGCACGCATACATGCAAGCACGCATGCACCCCCCTACACACACACACACGCACATACAAACACACACGCATGCTTGTACGTACGCACGCACGCATGCACGCACACACACACGCACATATACACACACGCGCATGCTTGCACGTATGCACGCACACACACACACATACGCACACACATGCATACATACACACACACAAATACACACACACTGACATACACACGCACATACATGCGCACACGCATACACACATACACATAAACATACATACGCTCATACACACACACACACATACATACACTCACACACACGCATACATATACATACGCATACTCACGCACATGCACGTACGCACGTACGCACGCACACACATGCACACATATGCACACATATATCCACACGCACATACGCAAACGCGCACACACATACACGCACGCAAAACACACACACACACATACACACACACATACACACACATGCACACACACATACACACACACATACACACACGCACATACATACACATATACACACACAAATACACAAACATACACACACACACACTGACGTACACACGCACATACAGGCGCGCGCGCATACACACACACACATATACATATACACACATACATACGCTCACACTTACACATACATACACATACATATATGCACACATACACACACATACACATACACACACACACATGCATGTACGCACGTATGCACTCATACTCACACACACACATACGCAAACGCGCACACACATGCACGCACGCAAAATACACACACATACATACACACACAGATACACACACACACACATACACACACACATACAGACACACACACCCACAAATACACACACATATACACACACACACATACACATACACATATACATACACATATACACTCACACATATATAAACACACCCATATATATACACACACACATACGCACGTGCACGCGAGCACCTGCATACACATACACACAAATACACATACACACACACATATACACGCATACAAACACACACGTACGCATGTGCACGTGCACACGCAAGCACCCACACACACACACACACACACATACACATACATACA